GTTTTAACGTGTTTTTGGCGACATATGACACTGTTTAAATAGTTTACATATTGGAATGTTTAAACACCGTTTTATTCGTTTCGCTGTCTGCCTGGGTAGACAGCAACTATTATTTTACCACAAACAATATGTGAACTGAAAAATTCTTTATTTTTTGAAGTTGAAAAATAATTGAACGAAACTTAATAGCATAATATATTTATAATTTGCATGTGATATATGAGCCATGTTAATTTGTATACTCTTCGAAAGGCGTAAGCTTAATGATTTTTTTCTTTCTTTTTGGTGGGTAAGCGTTGGCAAACTGCATTTCTGTTGAATATTGTGGCGAACTCTACATATTCGTAAATTTTAGTTAGACTTAAGTTAAGCTGAAGCGTAGCTTAATTTGAATATTAAAATCAATTACCTATGCTTCTGGCTTTCGATTTTTTTAAATTTACAAATCTTTTAACAACTGAGTTTTTTTTTGCCTGGCATACATCCATACCAAAGAGTTGAAAACAGAAAAAATAATGTGTATTAGTTATGACAGAGATCAACAAATACTAGATAAGTATTAGTTGTTCAAATAAATATTCGAAATAGTGGCTTTGATTATCGTTTTCATATACTGCAATATTCGCCCAAGTGTTTTGATCGAGTATAAGTTTCTTGCAAAAAAAAATTGTGCAATCTGCTCAACGTACTAAACATATTTATTTAATAGTTGAAAAATCGCTGAATGCGTAGAAAAGTGGTACACTTATATGTATATCGATTGAATGGATTAGGTAAAATTATTGCATCGACAGTTTTCCGTTGAAACTCCATGTGATTAGAGATATTCTTATATGCTCATATCAGATATTTGTTTTTCCTTTACTACGACCTCCTTGTAGATCGAAATAGTTCCTATGGATGATAACGGTAAATCGGTCGATTGCTCGCCTCCTTTCATGAGTATTTTCGTTGATGCGAACGAGAAGGCAAATCCAACTTCAAATGCACAAAATGCAAGCAACGTTCAAGATAGCACCATCAATGAAATAAAAGCTTACTGGGTTCTACAGAATATGTATAACTTTTTCCTTTGATGTCAAATATGATCATTGTTGCTCTTTTTTAGGAAAAATTGTTGTTGGTCAATACTAAATTTAAGAGGCAAACCTGGATTTGTATTGCCTATGATCACAAGTATAGCTATGACCATCGGTATACTGGTAGTTTGTTTTACCTCACCAAAACAAGCAGGTATGTCCTTGTTGTTTTACATTCTTCGTATTCAACACGATAAAGTCCACAGTTAGTTCAGTTTTGGTTAAAAAACTCATATTGTGATAATATTTGACATCGACATGTTCGAAGCAAATAATCAAGCGAGGACAGAATTATAAGCATAATAACTGCTTCACTTTTCCATTTCAAATTAGCACTGATGAATCAAACTAACCAAAGTGATCATCATCAGTAGATCTGATACATTGTTTATAAATCGGACTGCTCTATTTTTACTTATTGGTAGATATTATAGATTAGAAAAGAATTTCAGAAAGAATCATCCTATTGACGCTTTGCTCTAGAGGAGCAAAGATAATAAGTTGCTCTAAGACGGAAATTATTGCGTTTTTTATAAATTTGTTTTCCATATCTTAATCAAACAACAATTTTAAGATCTGATTTTTTAAAAATTGATATTACACATTGTTACTTGTTGCAGAAAGATCCATTTTATCTTATTCAATGTCCGTGAATCACTTCTTCTATTATTTTTGGTGATATTTTTTCACATCTCTGAATGATAACAGCAGCTTATCTTGGGTTTCTTTTTCTCTATCTTATCGATATGTTCTTGGATATAATAGAAATATAACAGAATAAGAGAAAATACAAGTGATTTTCTCATAGAACGTGACGAAAGTAAACACTTCTTCCTCACAGGACACGTCTTCTTTACGTTTTCTCATTTTATGTTGCCTATAGGGGAGAGTTAGCTTTAAATGTATTCCATCTATATCTGGTTTCGTTCTGCTATCATGTCTGAATGAGTGCATGTACTCTTTTCTAGTATGCCCAGGTACATTTTTTTTCTTTTTTCTGTATGGTTTATGTATGTTCTAGCGAGTTCTCATCTCTTTATTACATTTCTGTTAGGTTCCTCTTTTTCCCTTTTATCTTTATTTGTGGAAAACACAAGAAGGAAACCTAATCCTTGTACAAAAAAGAAAAAGAAAAACAATAACGAAGAAAAATAACAATAACCTTCTCGAGTGAATAACGAAAACTAACTGAACATAGAAAAACAACAAAAATAATAGAGAGAGATAGAGAAGAAGACAAATAAGGATCATCCATCTATATCTCTATAGATGGCAGATCCTGACACCTCCCCCATCCACCAAGTTAGATAAACACGCCATCAGGTATTAATTGTTCAAATAATTGTTTATCACCTTGATTGCTCATTCCAATATAAAGTGTTGAGCGAATATTATTGACGTTGGTGTACTTGATGTGCCAAGATTTTAATAATTTCTTGACATTGGTGATGTTGGTATATATTGAACGAACAATTACAAAGTTGTACCGGTTTTTTCGATGTCGAAGACTTGATTTAATATTACGTCGTCTACGTGCTGCTGTAGATCGTTTGTTAAATTTGGATTTGATGTTAGGTAATGTCTGATGACGATCATTTATTTCATGACCAGTCATCACTAAATCACCATCATCATCGTCACTAATAATTTCAATATTATTATTATTATTATTGCATTCAATATCATCAATAATCTCAACATCATTATTAACTTCATCTTGATTAATTATTTCGTTATCATCATTACTAATTTTAATAGATAAATCATTTGTTGAATGTACCTGAAAAAGAGAAAGTGGATCTGATATATCAGGAATAAGTTTATACTCCCCTAATGGTGGATCATTAAAATATTTAATACATGTAGTATTACTCGAGATGTTTGAATTGGAAATAAAGAGTAATAATTGAGCCATTGATAAACAATCATAGATGGCATATTTAACTAATGTACGACGATAAGAAGAAGAGATTTGTGGATCACGATTTGGAAGACGAACATCAAGACCAATAGACCATTTTCTTAATGTATATTGTTTTGATAAATATTGATTAAATATATAAGCTATTGCATCTTGAAGGCTCCACAATTCATTTAATAATAATTTTTTATTGTTCATAAGTTGGGCTGGAATAAATAATGATGGATCAATTGATGGAGCATGTAAAATAATTGAATCAGTTGGATCATCAGCTGTATCATTTGAATTTAGTGTTGCTGTATTTAACCAATTGTTAAACCAGGAAGTAAATCTTACTTGAGCATTATGTATATAAGATAGAATAGGATAAGTAAATAATCCATATTCTAAAAATGGAAATAATTCAAAAAGAAGTGGACCCCAAGTATATATATGACTATCATAACGAAATATTTTATTAAATAATTGTTGAAGTTGTTGACGATGAGCTGATGATAATGATTCAATAAATTTTATTTCAATTAATAACATGGGAGATTCAACATTAACATCATTCATGAAATAAATCTGTATAATTGCAGGTGCATTTGTATACTTGTCAGCCTCTGTGTCAAATATAAAACGTGTTGTTGTTGATGCAAATTTTATTAAATGATTAATTTCATCTAATGTAATTAAGTTGTTAATGAAAAAAATTGAGTGTTGATGAAGATGAACATATGGTGGAAAGAGAGATTGATATAAGTTTTCTTTTTGTTGTTTATTGATTTGACGATTTTTACTACCTTTAGATGTAGATGGGATTGATGATGACTGCGTATCAGACATTATTTTGATAATGACGTATATAAACCAATAACAAAAGTAAATTAAATGTAAATAAATAATCAATGTATATCAATAAATAAATAACCAGTAAACTAGATGAAGTAAACCAGCTATAAGTGATAAATAGATATCACCAATTCAAAGACTAAACATATAATTGACTAAACAAAATAGTAAATAAGATCAAAAGAGAAAACAACAACAAAACCAAAAAACTAAGTATAACAAATAATAACGAGAGAGAAAAAAAATGTTGTTACGAATTGAATAACCACAGGATCAGTAATGAATACTATAGATTGCTAAATCTATAGTGATAATTAATTAATGTCGGATTTTTTTTAAAGTGTTAACGACCATTTTCTGAATAACTTTTGATTACTTTGAGTTATCGAGCTGCGGTTTTCACCATTCAAAAGAGCAAGCCGGGGGCTACAAAATCCTACTGATTTTGAATGGTCAAGCAATTGACCAACCAGGAGAACTTTTGCTGGACAGTTTGTGAGCTGCCTCGTGCTACTNGGCCCCACCGCGCCCACACCCACATCCGCATCCTCAAGAACAGAAACTAAAAAAAATTAAAAGATTTTAGTGGGAGAATAACAAACAAGTACCAAAAAATCAAATTTTTTACTTATGTATTATAGCAGCTGCATGTACAAAAAAAGAATTGAGATATCAGGCTGACTGATCACTGATATATACACAAGAGACTGAATACAACAATGCAAAATAAAAAGAAGTGATGCAGAAGGATGACTCATCAGTCAACAACGCTCATTGTGATCGATTGAGTGAAATAAGATGACTTTCAGCAGTAATTTAGTGTTATTAGTTGTTTTACGAACTTTCGAGATTTTTTTGTCGAGCATTTTGTAGTCGGGATTTTGCATTGCGAGATTATTTTTTTAAAATCTTTTTCTCGATATTTTGCTCTTCGATCTTATTCCTTTCGAGTAATTAACATTCTTCAGTGTTTAATATAATTATTTCGGAACTATGATGAATGTGTTTTACATAGATACATCAAAAAGATTTAACAGGTTAGAAAGAAAGCGTTTCAATAGCGAATTTTCTTCTTTGCCTGTCTGCTTAGGTAACTATGAGTAACCAGAAAATACCAAAGAATAGTGTCTAAACACGTTAATTATAACTTTTGGCATGCTTATGAGCATTGATTGAACTGGAAGAAAAGACATTTTTCGAAATTTCAATTGGTGGAACATCCATTTGCTGTACAAAATATTGCATTAGTGAATTGTAAAGATGATAGATTAAAGAATCTTTTTAGGGTGCTTTACTCTCTAGGATCTGTTAATTATGAAAGATAGTAGATAGCTTGTAGTCCAGAGTCTATTTTTGAACCACTTTTTTCTTTTAGGTTAAAATAATTTCTATGGAGGACAAGATTATATCGTTGGAAAAATCATCTTCGGAACAACTGCCTCCGATGGTCGAAAGAACAAGCACTAATTCGACTCCGAATCCACTCGACCAAGAAGACGAGCCTAATGACTCAAAGAATATGATGGTAGATCGTCTAGTTCCAACGTCATTGTATGTCTTTTACATTCCAAAATCTCTTTTGAACCATTTGTATCTTTATTAGACAAGACCGCTTCCAGACAATACGGGACTCGAAGCTGCCTTATATTGCTTTTTTTATATTCATGAGCGCCTCGATAATTATCGGTGCTCTGATAGTTTATTTTACTTCAGCAAAAGAACGAGGTATTTACTTTGTTTATTATTTTCTTTGTATTGCAGCCAAGGATAAGTCGAAATAATGTTCCAATTGAAGATATTTACAATTTTTACTTGACAACTTAGGTCTGATTAACATTACAGAATTAAACTCAGATTTATAAATTGACAGTTTATGTCGGTGCTCAAATTACAACACATCAAAGTGGAACACTACAGTAGCGCCAAGCAAGCTCTTTGTTTATTTTACAATGGAATATTCTCAGCAGAAGCATAATTTATGAGTTGATATTTTGCCCCGATATGTATCTCAAAAAGAATAACAGAGTCTTCACGGAATTTAAGTTTCCACTCTTATTTTTCGAGTGCTATCCGATTCATCGACCTTCTGAGCTTGTTTCACGTATTTCCAGGATAATGAGGAATCCAATTTCCAGCTGAAATCTGGGTCATAGATAACTTTAAAAAGTGCTAGTATATCCGTAAAATTCTAGTCAAAATGAGTTCTGTTTTCGAAAGAGGATGGGTGTTGGTGTAGCTTTGGATGAGTATATGTCTCACTTAATGTACAGCGACAGTCACAGTCACAGCCATCCATGCACACTGCGACACCCGCTACCACTCCACATCCTCAACCACACCCACAACTATACCCACATCCACACCCTCACAGCGTTTTTCCACATTTTTATTTACTGAAAATCATCAGCTCTTGAGATCCCTCTTTCAATGTTTCTCTACTTTCTTCTCAAGTATTACTCATTTCTTAACCGATATCATCAGTAACGACAGAAAGAAAACAATCGAATTATATTCACAACATTTTCCTTGTATACTTTAGGAAAAGTATGCGCATTTACTTATCAACCAATATTGAACCAAAGAATTCAATACAGTTCTTTAACCCGTTCAATTGCAGTTGGTGACTTCAATAATGACCATTACTTGGATATAGTAGTTGCAAATTATGGATCTCATAGTATAGGTGTACTAATGGCAAATGGCAATGGAACATTTTCAAGTCAGACGATATATTCAACAGGCGCATCATCTTTTCCTTACTTTGTATTGGTTAATGATTTCAATTATGACACGCGACTAGACATTGCTGTCGCTAATTTCGGAACTAATTCTTTGGGCATATTTCTTGGCACTGACAATGGATCTTTTATAAGTCAAATGACATTCTCAATGGATGCTTCTCGACCACTCTCAATCGTTGTTGGTGATTTCAACAATGACACTCAATTGGATATTGCCGTTGTGAATTATGGGACGAGTAGTATTGGAATACTTCTTGGAGTGAACAATGGAACTTTTGCAACATCAATGGAATACTTCACTGGCTATGATTCCGATCCACGATCACTTGCAGTTGGAGATTTCAACAATGATGGTCTACAAGATATTGCAGTCGCTAATTTTGGCACAAATAATATAGGCGTATTTCTTGGTTATGGAAATGGAAGCTTTCAAAGTCAAAATATATATTCAACTGGATCTCATTCTCATCCATATGCTATTACTACTGCAGATATCAATAGAGATAACCGACTCGATATTGTTGTCACGAATGCTGGAAAGGATAACGTGGGTATCTTTTTAGGATATGGCAATGGGACATTTGTAAATCAAATCACTTTTTCAACTGGAAATGGTTCTAATCCACACTCTCTCGTGGTTGCTTACCTGAACAACGATATTTTTCCAGATATTGCTGTAGCTAACTCTGGTACTGACAATGTTGGGATACTTATAGGCTATGGTAATGGTACATTTGCCAGTGTAAAGACGTATTCAACTGGCTATGGTTCTAGTCCCCAGTTTGTCACCGTTGGAGATTTCAACAATGATAATCGAACGGATATCATCGTAGCCAACAATGGTTCTGACAATGTAGGTGTTATCTTCAGTGATCGAAGTATAGATTTCTTAGATGAGATCAGTTATTCAGCTGGCCTTGACTCATCAGTGATGTCTATGGTTCTTGGCGATTTGAACAATGACAATTATCTGGATGTTGTTGTTGCTAATTATAACACCGATAGTGTGGGCATACTATTAGGTTTCAGCAATGGAACATTTTCAAGCCAAACAACTTTTCCAACTGGCTCGGGATCTGGACCATATTCGGTGGCTGTTAGTGATTTAAATCATGACAATCACATGGATATTGTTGTCGCCAATTATGACACCGATAGTGTGGGCATACTATTAGGTTTCAGCAATGGAACATTTTCAAGCCAAACAACTTTTCCAACTGGCTCGGGATCTGGACCAACTTCGGTGACTGTTAGTGATTTAAATCATGACAATCACATGGATATTGTTGTTGCCAATTATGACACCGATAGTGTGGGCATACTATTAGGTTTTGGTAACGGAACATTTGCACGCCAAAGAACCTTTTCAACTGGTTCTAGATCTTCACCAATCTCTGTAGCTATTGCAGATTTTAACAATGACGGTCAACCTGATATAGCTGTCGCGAATTATTATGGTCAAAACATTGGTATATTGTTAGGATATGACAATGGAACATTTGCAAGTCAAATTACTTATTCAACTGGAGAGCTATCATACCCAACATGTGTCACTGTTGGTGATTTGAACAATGATTTTATAATGGATATTATCGCTCCTGCCCGATATAGAGACTATGTAGCGTTTTTTTTTGGAATTGGAAACGGATCGTTTGGAAGTCGAATTTCCTATTATACTGGATATCAATCTGCACCAGTATCTGTTGTTGTTGGAGATTTAAATAATGACAATTTATCGGATATCGTAGTCGGTAACAGTAACGCCAATTATTTAAGTATATTTCGAGGATATGGCAATGGAATATTTTCTAGTTTAGTTATGTATCCAATCAAAAGCACTGATACCGAAAATTTTGTCGCCATCGGTGACCTCAATAGAGACGCTCGATTGGATATCATCATTACTAACTACGATGGAAATTGTGTCGTTCTTCTTGGATATGATGCTGGTACTTTTGCTAGTCTGATCGACTTTCCAACCTCCTATGCCTTACTTCCAACTTCATTAACAATTGGTGATTTCAATCGAGATCATCGAATGGATATAGGAGTATCTAATTTTGTCAGTGACAATCTAGATATATTTTATGGGCATGAAAATGGATCTTTCATAAATGAACATACGTTTTCTGTCGGCGATAATTCACATCCCCGTATGATTATTTCTGCTGATTTGAACAATGACAATATTCTCGATATAGCCGTCGCCAATACTGGCAACGACAACATAGGGATGCTTATTGGATATGGAAATGGTAGTTTTCGCAGCATACAAACATATTCTACTGGTTCTAGATCAAAACCATACACTCTGGCTATTGGCGATTTTAACAATGACAATCGAATCGATTTTGCTGTCGCCAACTATGGAGTTGGCAATGTGGGCGTATTTCTTGGATTTGATATTGGAGCGTATACAGCACTTCCAGTCTTAGTCCTTTATTCAACTTCATCTGCAAAAAATCTGCAATACCTTGCAATCGCTGATTTCAACAATGACAATAGATCGGATATTGTATTCGTTGAAAGGTACACTAATATTGTTGGTATAATTCTTCAATATAGCAATGGAACATTTGCAAGTCCAATAATTTATTCAACTGGCTCTTTGTCGTCACCGCGGTGGGTAACTGTTGGTGATGTTAACAATGATAATCATCTGGATATCGTTGTCGCTAATTCTGGTACAAACAATATTGGCATATTTTTAGGATATGGTAATGGGACATTTGCAAGCCAAATGACATTTTCAAATAACGGTTTTTCGCCATTCTCTGTAACTCTTAGTGACTTTAACCATGACAATCAACTGGATATTGTTGTCATTAATTCTGCTGCTAATAACATTTGTGTATTCTTAGGATCTAACAACAGAACATTTGTAAGTTCAACAACTTATTCAACTGGTTCGGAATCGACACCGTATTCTTTGGCTGCTGGTGATTTTAACAATGACAATCACCTAGATATTGTTGTTGCTAATTCTGGTACAAACAATATTGGCGTATTTTTAGGATACGGTAATGGAACGTTGACAAGTCAAATAACCTATTCAACTTATCCTGGAACTTCGCCATGTTCTGTAGCTGTTGGTGATTTTAACAATGACAATCAACTGGATATTGTTGTCGTTACATATGACGATGGAAGCGTTGTGATTTATTTAGGATACGGTAATGGAACATTTGCAAGACCAACATTTTTTTACACTGGCAGCGGAGCTCAACTTGTGTTCGTGGCTGTTGGTAATTTAAACAATGATAATCATTTGGACATTGCAGTTGCCGCTGCTTTCCAGTAAATGAAAAAAATGAATCTTGATGGCATTTGCATTTAAAAAGAATGAAAGAAAAAAAGAAGAGAGATATTGAGAATAACTTCTGATAAATTAGAAATCGAAAGAAATGAGAAAAAAGTCAGCTTATTTTCGTTCGATACAACTCAGTTCGACTGCATCGGAAACTTCCACTTCTTGAATTTTCTATATGCGAGTGAAGGTTCTTTCTTTCATAGTAACTTGAACTTGCTTGATATTTTTCGACAAATTCAATCGATTCTTAACATCACTCATAGACTGATATAAACAATCTATGACCAAAAGTTAAAAGTTGAGAAATAGAAGCTCTTGCTATTCTCTACTTCCACGTAGAAACGTTACATAGATAAGAAATATAAGATTGATCAGCCACTTTTAAATAAATATTGAACAAGATTTAATGAGTAATATAGCAACCGATTTGGGTAACATAACTTCAACAAGATTTGCATAACCTATGTCAGTGTCAACTCGAAATTATGCAGTTGTTACGGTTAAACAATAGAATTCTAGTAATTTTGGAAACATCTTCTTTCGCCATGAGCTCTTTCCAAGCATTTGCTGTAAATAAACCTTGAATTCATAAGGATAAGGAAAACATCAGTATAATTTATAACAGTAAATATAAATGGTAATAGTTATCAATCATGTTTTATTAGAATCATAGTAAAAGTATCCCAGAATTTATTGATATAACATGAATGCTAATATTATTAATGTTGAAATATTGTAAAACTTTCTTATTGTAGCAACGTTATCTACGTACTTTTTGGTTATGGAAATGGTGCTTATACATATAAAATGCCGTTTGCTTCGGGCCACTTTTACAATCCGCAACAAGTAGTCTTTAGTGATTTTAACGGTGATGGTCGACTAGATTGCGCTGTGTTTGATTATTTTCGAATTTATGTATTTTTTGGGTCTGTCAATGAAGGCTATCTAGATATGGTGCCATTTTCAACTGGGGCTAATTCATCACCACGATCAGTTAGCATTGATGATCTTAATAATGATAATCGACTTGATATTGTCGTCGCCAATTCAGACAGCGACAACATTGGTGTATTTCTGGGATTAGGCTTTGGAGATTTTGCAAATCAGACTACATTTTCTACAGGTAATGCTTCGAAGCCATACTATGTAGCCCTTGGTGATTTCAACAATGACAATCGAACAGATATCGCTGTGGCTAATTATGGTATTGGTAATATTGGCATATTTTTAGGATATGGCAATGGAAATTTTACATCACAAGTGACATATGCAACTGATCCTACATCTGATCCTTATTCAGTTGTTGTGGGTGACGTAAATAACGACACTCGACAAGATATTGTTGCGACTAATTTTTACTCTAACTATCTTGTTATTCTTTTCGGTGTCGGAGATGGTACTTTTGTCAACAAGACAATCATTCCTATGGGATATGGTTCTTTACCATCATTTGTTGCACTCGGTGATGTAAACAATGACTATATTCTTGATATAGCTGTCACCAATTATGGGTTTGGAAATATAGAGATTCTTTCCAAGATGTGCTAGTTCTAACTAGTTACTTTTTAGTATGTACTTTTTGTTTTTTAACCTATTTTTGACTCATAATGACTGTTTATTATGTTTATTGTGTGCAGAAGAGCTTTTTACTTTCAAGTGTTTATTTTCTTATTTTTCATTTATTACTTTCAGAAAAAAGATTATCAGTACATATCGATGATGATCAGAGCACTTACACAGAAGTGATTAATGAAAGTATTTTGCATATAGTTCGCACAGTTCATAGTGGCGGATAGATGTTGGTCTGAGCTGATGAAGAAAAGAGAGGGTACGGGGGTGGGAGTGGGAGTGGGTACGAATGTCGATCACTTCTTCACCCACACCCACACCCACACCCACACCCCACACCCACACCCACACCCTCAAATGTGTCATAGTACACTCATAAATTAGAAAATTTGAACATTTGTTTCATGGCGATTAAAAAGATTCTAAGAATGAAAGAAGTCTTCTTTATCAAGTTATAATTTTCTTTTTCGTCAAACTTCTCGAAATTGGTCAATCTGTGATTAATCGACATAGAAAATATCGACTAGGAGTTCCTATGCAGACACTAACAACATGTGGGTGTGGGTGTGAGTGTGGGTGTGGGTGTGGGTGTGGGTGTGGGTGTGGGTGTGGGTGTGTCTGTGTGGGTGTGTGGGTGTCGGTGTGGGTGTGTGGGTGTCGTTTGAATGTAGGTGTTATTACAGAGACATTCCAGTTCTATGAATGCTACCCCTACATACACACTTCTGTTTTTGAGCTCAGTAAAAATGCTAAGAATGATCGTGCAAAGGGATGAAATCTTGTAAGTCTAGAAAAATTAGAAATGTTTTAAAGTGGTAGAATTAGTTCATCTGGTTTAAACGCGTTTTTTGTTAATCTTGTTTGACTAGGGGCCTGAATGTCTCGTATTGGAATCGACTAATAATAATCTGTTCCACAAGAACATGTGGGCTAATAAAGATTCTATTTCGAATAGGAAAGAGTGTTCTTCAGAAAATCTCAGCATTTCATAAAGTATGAAATTATTCTATGGAGCAATAATAGCAGGTTAAAATTGATCGAAATTGGTGCTCAACATGCCGGCAGCAGATTGAAGTTGATGAGTAATTTTCAAGGAGACTTGACGATGTTTGTCCTTTACTGTGTGTTGAGCGAGAGAAATAAAAATGAATCCCAAAGAAAAACAAAACAAACTTTTCTGGAACGGACAAATGACAATAATCAGTTTACGAAAAAGAAGCGAGCGCAAAAATTGTAACAGTAACATGCAAAAGAAAGTAAGCAGTGAATGAGCGGCGGCGCTAATACATGTGCGGTACGTTTTGCCTGACTTGATCGAAAGTGAAAGAATTCTGGGTTTCATTTTAATTTCTTCGAGCAAACAAAGAAAAAAAAATACCTTCTTCGAACGTGATTGGTCGAAAAAGTATGCCTCTTCATACATTCCCTGAAACAGAAAATGAGATTGAAGACCCTTCAGCGACGACGGCAAAGACATCAGAGTAGAGCACCAATACAGTTCTCTTTTTACAATCCTTTCACAGTTGTTTTGATTCTCTTTGATTTTTGTGCTGAGCAAAGAAAAGCAAACTTGAGCAGTCTTCATGCAAGATGCCCATATGTGACTGATATTTGAAAAGTGAAACATTATTTAGGTAATCAGGTATGATTTTTTTCCGTATAACAGAACGACTCAACATCACTCTTAAGGGTGTGGGTGTTGGTTGTGGGTTGTGGTTATGGCTGTTATCTTCATCCACACAAACTCCAATTTTCGGCAAAAATATGAAAGAACACATGAATTGTTTCTTTTCGCTAACGGTGCATAACTATGTTTCTTAACTAGCTTTCTTCTTCACCACTGACGGTAGTCAATACAAAAACTTATAGCATGACCTTTTTGCAAGTTTGGGATATTCTATATAGATAGTTTTCATGCTTTAGCACTGGAGCAAGTTGCATATATATTAAATGATAGTTTATCTAGATAAACAACTACTTGTAGAAAAAACAAAATTCGCACGGTGAAATCATGGATAGAGTAAATGGGCAATTTTAAAAACAGACTTGTCTCGATCAATTTTTAATGCTGAGTCAGAATCTCAAGGGAAAATGATACCTTAAGAAAACAAATAACGCATTATCCTTTGAAAAATAAATAAAATTACGTACATCAATATTGTGTCAAAAATGTGATACTTTGAGAAAGTAAGCGCAAAACGTGGTCTATGGAGAGTTTTAAAACGGCCCAAATCTAGCACATTTTGTAGAACGGAAAACCAGAAAATTTTTCACGAAGTTTCAGTTTGCGCTAATTTTCTTTGCATATTGATCATAGATTACGACTAAACTGAAAAAAATTGAAATTTTAAGAAAAGCAAATTTTTTTAAATTGAGTAAGATCTGTTTTAATCCAGAAAGAAGCAATAAACAGGACATGTTTAGTATCGATTTGTAGTGGTAGAGCAACTATGTATAACTAATAGGATATATACAATGAAAGGCAAACAATATGAAAATAGTTTGATACCACAATCAGATGACCCCTACCCGTACAAGTGGATACTATAGTGGTCAAATTCATCCTGCAATTTTTATACGTGGTGCCAATAAAAATTTAAACCAAGTACACGAGCCCATGTAGAAAACTATGCTCTTTCACACTAGCTATGTGAAAAAAGGTTCAATGAAAAAAAATTTTTAAGCTTATCCGGCGGTGTCCTTTGAAAATTAGTTCTTCCAGATGTTTCTACATTCATTGGAAAAAATAACATAATACTGCAGTATCTTGATAGCAATAATCTAAGGGCATGAGCTGTTTTTAGAGTATTTATAGTTCATTTGGATTTGCATAATGCACATGAACTCGATCTCAAAAACGATTCATTAGTTGGAGAGTTTCTCTCGTAAGTAAAAAGAGATGAAAGACATTTGCTTCTTCCTGAGAAAATTTCGTTGTATTGTAGGTACTATGGTATGAACAACAAAGAAAGATAGATTTCATGTATTTCCTTATTATCTGAAAAGTTATTAGTAATCATACTTCATAAATTGAACAAGAATACATTTCAAGTGGAAATGATTGTTTGGCTTCAAGTCTAGTCTATGATTAAGTTTCTATGAGATTCAAACTGATCTAAAAGTTTTTGACACAATGTTTCTATTTTGATGTAAACATTTCAGATGCTATTCATTCAATCTTTGAATAATATAAAATGAAAGGGCCAATCTCTCATTTGATGATTGATCTTATTTTATTCTATAGATAAAAGTATTTCTAGTCAAAAAATAGGTTACATGCAGCAACTGCGGACATCGCCAAAACTGAAAAAAAATTGAATTCGAAATAAATATCATATAAAAACTGATGCTGAGCAGGACTTCTTGTTTTCAACCGGAATATGGTTTTTTTCTGGACATGGACATCCACAGTTACTTTTACTTTGATTATGAGGTAAAGATAGTTACCTTGATATTCATTTATGAAACATATAGTATAATTATAAATAAAAGTAACTGTGAGAGTCTATATCAGACAACGTCGCAGGATCTGCGTTCTACAGGGCATGTGGTATTCTGCCTTGGTTCTACCAATGTAGGAGCAGGGCAATCCATTTCCTTTGACACTGGACCTGCAGGATAATATTTGAGTCTTGCAGGACGAAATTGAAAAAATATCGCCCAAAACTAAATGAGCTACACAAAAAATTTACGATATACAGAGCATTCAATAGAAAGTTTACTGGTTATTTATAGGACCAGAGACAGTTATAGTATGAAAAACTTTATAGAGCCAACGCCTCTTAGATGTGACTTCTGCTATTTTTTTTGTTCATTTCGTTTCTGTTGCAAAATGTATGATAAGGTTTATTGACAAGATTATTGTAAATGATTTTTATATAAACAGTACTTCTATGACATTTGACATTGTAGCTCATTTTCAGTATCAATTAGATTGTGAATCCTATATCTTTTTGCTTGTCCTCATTATTTTATCACCTTATAAATATCGAGTTCTTTTTTGTTCATTTCATTTCTACAAGAAAACATGTGATAAGACTTATCAACATGATTATTGTCAATGATTTCTATAAAAATGGTACTTATATTATATTTGGAACCATATCTCATATATTAGACAAGCTTTTATCTTTCTAAAGGATGTAATGAAAAAGTCGTCCTGCAGACCGGATCCTTTGTCCTGCAAGACATGTCCTGCCAGTACGAGTATTTTTAATGTCATGCTATGCGTTCTGCAAAGCAGGATAGTTGTGTGATAATATCCTGCAGGACGCATGGCAGGACAAAAAAAACAACCTGTAACGTTCTCTGGTCTATATGTACAAAAACGACTAAATTTTTGTCGAAAATCAAAAGTGCAACCTAGAATTGGCGTCCACAGATCTCCGCAGCTCTTACAGGCACCCCAAAAAACATCAAATGTGGTGTTATAAAAATAAAAAATTCTATGGAAAAACTTTCTAATCTTAAATAATTGCGAAACTAATTATCAATACTTTATTTTTATTCATTTTATAATATTTGAATATCAAGGTGAACCTGAACATATAACAAAATAAAAAGCAATATTAGCTGCTCAACATACAAATGGTTCTGTTATAGTTGAAGATAAATCACTAAGTTTTAATGCTTTACATGGTATTCTAGGTTTCTATATTAAAATGATTTTAGATAAATTAGATCATGATGCTTTGCAGAAATGACCTGCAGGTTATCACGATCTAATGGCATAAGTAAAACGTATGTTTCCATTTTGTATTGGATCATCTTATCAATCCACTACACTTACTGGTTATTATTGTGCAGGATGTATTGTATCAGCACGTAGATCAAAGGTATTTGAATTGGATCTAATATTTCGACCAGATAATGAACAAGAACAACCAGATTATAAAACATTTGACAAAATCGATAAAATAATAAAAAACTCAAATTAGTCATTGAAGTCGATCATTGAAATTAGTCAAAGATTATTTTGA